GTCAACCTCTGCAGGTACTAGATCGGGCCAACAGCATGGTACTATGGCAGTGTTGAATCCTTTCTGAATGCAGATTGATCGAATTGTCTTGATCACTTGTTTGAAAAGTGAATGTTTCTTTGCGTCCACTTCAGCTTTGAAGTTTATTTTGTTGCCTCAATGTGCAGCAGACTAATTGGTCAACCTGTTCGGAACTTGGCATTTGAAATTTGGACAAAATGTTTTTGTGCAGATTACCATCAGTGTACCCTTAAATATATTTTTTCATATATGTATGCACATCTGATTGCAGTTAAGGAATCTTGTTGATTTTTTTTAATGCATGACTTTTTTGTGTTTTTAATTGCGAATTATTCTGTTGCTCTAAATTTATTCCACATGACAAACTCCTTCCTTCTTGATGAGGTGCCGATACAGAAATTTCAGCAATTCTTCAGTTTGACAGCCTTATCTGGGGATGTATTTTATATTGAGTCACAAACATGGAATGGTATTCTCTAACAACTGGTTTAAATCTCTAAATGTTTTTTTTTTTTTTAGTAAATTTAAAGGTTTTAGTCATGTTCCTAGTGAAATATTTCTGGTACCGGAGACATTTTGATACCGTATCTCCTCGTTTCGAGACCTCGGATCCTCGGAGGCTGTTTTGATTCTATGGCTAATAAATTTTTGTTGTTGAATTAAGAATTGTTTCGACCGTTTCTTTTTGAAGCATTTATTTAAGTTAAACGTCAAACTACAAAGTGTTAAGATAAAAAAGTAATTAGTGTTATTTCGTTGCACACAAAGAAGACAGTTGCGCACGTCTCTGTCGGACTAAATAAAAATGCGTGAAACTGGTGCCGACATTTGATGTGCTAAAGCTCGTGCAGACTGGAGCCCCCGAGCTGTGTGAAAATAATAGTTGATTTTCAAATGATTGTTTTTGATAATTGTTTGATTTGCACCTTAATCTTAACAGAAACCTATCCTTCCTTCGATCTCTAGAAAATAAACAACAGAGTGCTACTCGCTTTCCACATTTCGCAGCTGCAACTCTAAACCCTCACTTTGAGGCTTTTCCAAAGAGCTTCGGTTTTTCACCACCATGCGACCAACAATCTCATTGCATGAGCTTAAATTTGCGTAATTAACAAAATTCGATTTGGAAATCAAATTTTGTCCACTGCTCGTTGTAAAAGGTGTGAAGAGAAAACAAAAACAAAAAATGGCGAGAAAAAATTTTTTTCGCCTAGAAGTTTTAAAAGAAAAGCAAACTCTTGTATATCTTTCCTTTGAAAGCTTTCTGCCTTTTCATTAAGAATGTTTCTTAAACGTTTTGTTAAAGAATAGTTTGATCCACATTTCGTAGCATAATTAATTAGTGATGAAATTGAAATACGACTTTCTATTTCCCCGGCACCGACACTGAGGTGGTGTGGAAAATGTGTGAGGCTGTGCAAAAATCATAAGATCTCGAGAGATACAGTCGTACCCCGATGTGAATTATTTTGTTAAGTAACCTTTAAGCTTTGAAGTTACTCAGCCCTCGGCGCGTGGATTGCACATGCATTTTTCACGCTCTCAAATAATGTGTTTACTGATGGACAAGACACGGACATGCAATTTAGCTTGTGTTAACATTCAAACGATATATTGTACATACCTCACAATGCAGCGTTATTTGAAAATAATTTATTTGAGAAAGATCTCGCAGTCACAGTCGACGACAGTCACATCTTGACGATCAGACGGAATCCAAGATGGCTTTGTTTTGGGGCATGTTTTGGGAAAAGCTTCCACCCCAACCCGAACAAATGTTTTTGAAGATGACTGAGAAGGACTCTTCGCGGATTATCTCTGGGAGGGGCAGTGTTCGCAGAATCGCTTCGAGGGCCATTCAACGTCCTTCCCCTCCTTCGTTTCCTGTGAATGTCAAGCAGAAACGCGTGGATGGCAGGCACTTGCCAGTCCTATTTCTCACAGTGGAAGATAACAGAGAAAGGGTACTCATCATCCATCAGAAAAATTAAGTGGAAGCTTTCAAGAGGGGCCAAAAAACGTTAAATGCAAAACAGCAAAACATAGGTGGAGAGTCGCGCTGAGTGGGTTTTCAGAGTCCAAGAGAGTGGCAAAAAATTTCTAGCTGATGAAGCGCACAAGAGTCACACCAGCCGCATCAGCAACATGGCAGTGGCCTAGGAGCGTTTTTTTGAAAAGGTGTATAGACCGACACGCTGTTTACAAACAAGTCCGCGTTTGCCCACACCAGGTGTGGGCACTGTGCGTGCCCACAAACCGGATTCGCGTGAAGTGAAGCTTCTGCGCGTGCGCAGTGCCGTCGACAGCGTCTCCGCAGCTGCGTGACGTCAGGGCCGCGTGTTGGTCTATAGCGGGGAATTGTTTCCGCTAAATTTAGCGGGGAAATATTCCTGTTAAACTTAGCGGGGGATTTTTGTCCACTAGGTTTAGCTAGAAACATTTTCCACTAAATTTAGCGGGGAGTTTTTTTATCTTAATTTGGCAGGGAAATATTTCTGCTAAATTTAGCAGGGAAATTTTTCCACTAAGTTTAGAGCGGAACTCTTTCCGCTAAATTTAGTGGGGAAAGTTTCACACTAAATTTTGTCAGTAATTTTTTTTTCCACTAAATGTTGGGGTGAAATTTTTCTTCTAAATTTAGCGGGGAATTTTTCAGCTAAATTAAGGAGGGAAGTTTTTCTGCTAAACTTGGCAGGGATATTTCCTGCTATATTTAGGAGGGAAATTTTCCTGCTAAATTTTGTGGGGAATTTTTCCTGCTAAACTTAGCTGGAAAATTTTCCCGCAAAATTTTGCGAAGAATTTTTTCGGCTAAATTTAGTGGGAAATTTTCCCGCTAAATTTTACCCTTGCGATGTCACGTGTGACATTGTTATCAGAAGTGTCCCATAATGCCGACGGTGATGCCGCTCAACCCGGAAACGGGTGCCTAAGAGCTGCGCTGTAAAAGATTTTAGCATATGTACCGTCAGTGCCATGAGAGGCACAGAGTCGGCCCGTATGAAGACTGGTCCTGTTTGTTTTACTTGTGACTGTTTTTTGTGCGTGCCCCAGTTACCACTTTTGTTTGCTACCATATGCCTTTGGCGTTAATGTGAGTGTGCCATGTTTGGGGTTTTAAAAAGAGGTCAAATGCTTTTCTGACATGAGCGACAGTATATTTGCAATTTATTCTCTTCTGAACCTCGCAGGTGGATGCTGGCAACCATCGCAAGATCTGGCAAATGGCTCATTGTTGCTTTGCAGAGAGGCTTCTTTCCACTGGCCATTTCACCTTTTGTGATCATGCATTTTCTGTGCAGTGTTCTTATACCAGTCGAGTATCATCGAAATGAGTGTCTCATGGCATAAAATGGATCTCAGTTATTTAGATGGACAAGCACTCGACCTACCTGATTGCATTCACCACCACTCCATTTGTGCAAAACAAAACAAGTGTGATGCAGTTTTCTTGCAATGCATGCTCTTGTCTGGTGCTTGAGGCTACAAGATGTCAGCCATTTGTTCTGTTAATTGCATTCACTAGAAGCAGTGCCTGCATACTCGAGTAGCGTGTGATTTTTCATAGGTTTAAATGGACATCTTGTAGAACTGTATTACAATGAGCAGCCGTCACTATATAGTACCTCCATAGTAGCATAGCATTCACTGCTGCCTTATATGTCATAGCAATTCCGAAGCCCAGAAAAGAGGCTCGCTTATATTTTGCTTATGGCTATTAGTGCGTGAGATAAGCTGCTTCAATGAAAAATAAAGTACACATGACAATTTGCTGCATGAATTGGCAATGCTCATTAATTTTTTATTAATTTACAGTGTGATATTACATGACCTTAATAACAGAATTTCTTAATACTTTAATTGTTTTTTGCCTAGTTCTCTTATATGAACTGGAGTCAAACCGCTTGTTTTGTGTGTAATACTTTCTGCTGAAGGCAGTACAGACTTGTCAAGCTTGTCTAATGTTTGCACCTTGGCATTTGACTTTCGTTGTTTTATACTTTCCTTCTCTCGTTTCTCTTATATCCTCAACAGTGCTGGCCGAAGCAGCCTTCCGGGATGATGGGGAGGGCAAGAGCAACTCCTCTTCCCCAAGAGGCGAACTGGTTGAGTTGCAACCCACAATTCGGCCACGACATGAGGGCATGTACCACTGCAATTTCTGTCCTTATCTGAGTGATATTTTATGTGATGTCACCAGGCATGAAAGGACTCACACGGGGGAGAAACCATTCCATTGCGAGGTTTGCCAGAAGGCGTTCGCCAGAAATCACCACCTGATGGTTCACAAAAGAGTACACACGGGCGAGAAACCGTACAAGTGTGGCACCTGCGAGAAAGAATTTTCACGTAAATCCAGCTTGTGTCACGAGAGAACCCACAGTGGGGAGCGGCCTTACAAGTGTGAAGCCTGTGGGAAAACGTTTAAGCACAGTAGTAATTTGACTAAGCATCAGAAAAAAGTGCATGAGTGAGGGATCTGCATCATGTAGTATCTGGAGGTATGGAAGAACTGTTTCATGTTTCACCTTTCGCTTCACTGCTTGTATATTGTGTGTTCAAATGAAGCTGAGAAATAGAGACACATTTATCAGCTCTAAACATTATCAGTTGCAATTAGGCAACAGTGGCAGTACTGCTATGTAGCACTTTTGTTTAATACATTCTGGCAGCTTTTAACCCATTTGCTACCACGCGTGTCGCGCGCTGCCGGGCCTTTTGTACCGCATGTTTTCCCCCTAAAACAGGGCCACACTAGCGGGAATGTTTTGCTCGTATAATAAGCATTTACAGTAAAACTTAGTGCAGAAAACACGATAACATGTTATTTACATGCTTAAGTTGTTCATTCAAGTCTTTAAATCAATGGGCCCTCACCGATTCTTGCTCGTATGAAAGATCTCGATGCACTTCATCCTCGGTCGCTTAGGCGTCGCACGACCAGTGCGCTCTTGTCGTGATTCGGACTCAGAATTGCAGTCGGAATCGCCCCCGTCGTCAACAAAAGGTTCCGAGAACTCGCTATCCTCACCAGACGTCCCGTCATCATCGCTGTCGAAGAGTATATGTACGATTTCATCGTTAGGAAGGCCACACCGTACACTGGACGCCGCCATCTTTTCCAAGCAGGCGGCGATTGAGCGGGGAAGACAATACACAAAAGAACAAGCTCAAACAAACACAGAAATTCGTGCAGACTGGCGAATCGCCGGCTTTGCCAATATGGCCCCTGACGGCAAGCCCGGCGATTCGTCGGCTTTGGTAGCGAATGGGTTAACTTTGTGATTATTTTTGTTTTATGACGTATAGAGCTACTTTTAATTGTTCATTTGAGTGGATTAGGAGCATTGTGACTTAATAAGGCACCTTGAATCCTATGTCAAGATTTTTGTGAGGACATTTTGAAAAGTGATTCCTCCGAAGTTTTCTGGATATCTATCCATTGTTAACCTATTTCTTCCACTTTGCTCCAAGTTGAATTATGTTCCCGAGATTGTAAAAAGAAATCTTTCAGTTACTGTCCTGCTCCGTTTTTTGTGGGTTCAGTGAATCGCGAATAAACTACTTTCCTCTACAAGACATTGCCTTACTTCCTCACTACTGTCGATGAGCATTGTACAAGCAACGGGCAATACCAATGTAAACTTTCATTTCAACCTTTTTTGGACTTGATTGAACTTTACCAGCTGACAATGGGAGTATGCTTGGTGATGTCGCAGCTGGACCATTTGCGTTAACTTTATTTTTGTTCCACAACATTGCTGTTTGTTATGATAGGTGTGTGAATTATTGGAACGTATTATCGTTACTTTGAATAACATACTATTGGTTTTACTACTTGCTTCAAACACACAATGTCAATGAAAAATCTGCTAAGTTACTCATTTTTGCGGTCGCTTCGGGCGTCTTTTACAGCGAAGTAGAGGTTACTTCGAATCAAGTGCTCGTGCACCGAGAAGAAGCACCACATGTATGTAGACTGCATTCCTGCATATCGCGCTTTGCTGCAGTGCATCTTTATGCTAGATATTGCGCTAGACTCTAAAGGATTAATTTTTATGTTGAGTCGCGCGTTTTGTTGTTGCCTCTATTACAGCCCTTAAATTACTCAGGGAAATTGTACCAAAATGAGTTGCTGGGCGAGTTGGATAGACATCTTGACTTAAACAGCGCAAATAAGTTACGTAAGGAAGAGACAACAGGAAGGAAAGAGCGCTGACTCACAACTGAGGTTTTAATAATGATGTAGTGAAAGAGAAGGAAGGTGTCAAGTGCGGTAATATTAAATTAAAGAAGGTTTCAATTATTAACCTCTTTCTAATGGCCATATTAACGGAATGACAATTTGCATTTTTAAGTAACCGAAATGAATATATCTACGTACAAATATTCTGATGTGATCTACAAAGTTGACGGTGACCCAACGGTTACTGGTTGTCACAGCCCGAAAAAAGAAGAAGAACCACAAAGTCGACGGTGATCCCAAGGGGGGTTGGCTTCCACAGAAATAGGAAGAAAAAATAATTTAGGGACTAAAATTCAAAAATTGGAGCTCTTTCGCCGTCAGAGCAATCGAAGGCGTACTTATACAGGCTAGGCCCTTATTCGCGATCTTGCACGCCTCGTACACCTCTCTAGTCTTTTGTTCCTTAAAATGTTTAAGCACCTTAGTCTCAGAAAACCTTGGTGTGCACCCGCAATCTCTCACATGCACAGCAAGATGGCCCGCTGGCGTTGAGTTTAGAGAAAGTGCATGTTCCCTGAGTCGCACATTGATGCACCTTCCAGATTGTCCCAGATACACCTTCCCACATGACAACGGTATTTCATATATGATGTTGCTGTGACATTCCACGAACTTGCTTGCATGGTTGATTTTACATAGTTTGTGTGTATCCTGCTGTTTGTTGATTTTTGGACATAATCTTTTAAGTTTGTCTTCTGCAATTTGACTCCGCACACACTAAGCTCGTCAAGAGAGGTATTGTTGCCAGTACGTTGGGGGCGGCTCTAAGGAAGTCTTGCGACCACACAGCAGGAGAGAGCTTCAACATCCAGCTACAGAGACTTCGCGCATCAGGGTACCCGACTTCAGTTATTACCACCATCGTGGAGAGCATGTTAAAACAACGTCAAAGAGGAAGCCCAAACCGAACAAAGATCCGACCTGTGGTAATGCCCTACCTTCACCGTCTCTCCCATAACCTAAAAAGAGTAGCCGCAAAGTTTGAGGTTCCTATCCTCCTCACAGCGCCCGACAAACTTAAAAGATTATGTCCAAAAATCAACGAACAGCAGGATACACACGAACTATGTAAAATCAACCATGCAAGCAAGTTCGTGGAATGTCACAGCGGCATCATATATGAAATACCGTTGTCATGTGGGAAGGTGTATCTGGGACAATCTGGAAGGTGCATCAATGTGCGACTCAGGGAACATGCACTTTCTCTAAACTCAACGCCAGCGGGCCATCTTGCTGTGCATGTGAGAGATTGCGGGTGCACACCAAGGTTTTCTGAGACTAAGGTGCTTAAACATTTTAAGGAACAAAAGACGTACGAGGCGTGCAAGATTGCAAATAAGGGCCTAGCCTGCATAAGTATGCCTTCGATTGCTCTGACGGCGAAAGAGCTCCAATATTTGAAGTTTAGTCCCTAAATTATTTTTTCTTCCTATTTCTGTGGAAGCCAACCCCCCTTGGAATCACCGTCGACTTCGTGGTTCTTCTTTTTTCTGGCTGTGACAACCAGTAACCGTTGGGTCACCGTCACCTTTGTAGATCACATCAGAATATTTGTACGTAGATATATTCATTTCGGTTACTTAAAAATGCAAATTGTCATTCCGTTAATATGGCGTTTGGAGGTTAATAATTGAAACCTTCTTTAATTTAATAATATTACCGCACTTGACACCTTCCTTCTCTTTCACTACATCATTATTGAAACCTCAGTTGTGAGTCAGCGCTCTTTCCTTCCTGTTGTCTCTTCCTTACGTAACTTATTTGCACTGTTTAAGTCAAGATACTCAAGGGAACCAGCTCTCTAGTTGAAATCCAATCTAAAAGGCTGGAATGGTACAGAAATTAATGCTTGGGAATACTATCAACGAGTTGAGCTGGATAAGTATATATATCGGCATGGCCATTTTGCATCATTGTAATAAAACAGACTACACCAACTTTACATTACAATTGTAACACTTAGAGTTGAGACGTTTTGTCTGCCATACAGGAGAGATATCAAATATGCTAAAGTGGCATTCCTGCCAACTTGGCATCGCTGAGGTTGTCTCATGTACGGGAGATGAAACATCTAATTGTTATATTTGTTATGTGATGTCGATGTATTTTCATGATGAGTCCCGGTTTCTAGAATATTTTTGCAATCTTTGTAGCATTAAGAACTTTAAGAAAACATCAAATTATGTGGTAACACATTTTTCATTCTTACATCTTAGTGGATATGATAATTTTTACCTCTTACACTGGTTTACCCTTCATCACCTGCAATGAACCTTCCTAAACAAAAATGATGCATCTTGACACAATAATTCTTTTCCCCTATCTGGTGCTTGCAAACACGAATGGACAGCTAGCCAAGTTTTTGAGGGAATCAAACTGCCTGTTCTAAAATGTTTGCTGACAAGTTGCAACAATAAACAGGAAAAGCAAAGAAGGCAACGATTTTCATGTCACTGAATTTTAACCAAGTATTTATAGTGGAATGAATATTAATTAAGTTTTATGCTGGCCTCCCAAGGTGACTTCAGGTGGACAAGTCATATCATATTGCAAAGGGATTAAATTTTGAATGCTTGAGGTCAACCTCTGCTGGTACTGAATTGGGCCAATAGGGTGGTATTGTGGTCGCATTAAATCCTTTCTGGAGGTGGATTGACTGAGCAAATTGTCTTGGTTACTTGTTTGAAAAGTGAATGTTTTTTTTTATGCATTTTGTTTTCCCAATTTACGTTAGTCTAATCTGTGAACTTGTTTGGAACTTGGCATTCAAAATTTTGACAAAATGCTGTAGCTTTTGCTTAGGTTGTCATCAGTGTACTGTTTTATGTACTATGAAATATATTTATTCGTATAAGGATGCATATGGATTGCATTACGGAATCTGGGTTAATTTTTTTTAAATGCTTGTTTCTTTTGTGGTTTTTATTGCAAATGGTTTTGTTGCTCTAAATTTATTCTGCAGGACGAACTCCTTCACTGCTGAGGTGTCGTTAGAGAAATTTTAGTGATCCTTCAGTTTGACTTTTGAGCAAAGTATATATGATTGCAGCGGCAGCTTTGTCTGGGAAAGTATTTGATATTGAGTCACAAGCGTGGGATGGTATTCTCTAACAACTGGTATGTCTCTAACAGTTTTTTTTTTATTAAATAGATTTAAAGATTGTAGTCATGTTCCCAATGAAATGTTTCTGGTTTCAGAGACATTTTTATACCATATCTCCTCATTTCGAGACCTCGGATCCTCGGAGGCTGTTTTGATTTTATGTCTAATAAACTTTTGTTGCTGAATTAAGAACTGTTTCTTTTAGAAGTATTTATTTTAGTTAAACGTCAAACTACAAAGTCTTTAAGACATATAAAAGAAGAAGTAATTTGTGTTATTTAGTTGCACACAAAAAAGACAGTTCGCATGTCTGCGTTGGACTAAATAAAAATGTGTGAAACTGGTGCCGAAATTGGATCTGCTAAATCTCGTACAGACACGAGTCCCCGAGCTGTCTGAAAATAATAGTTGAAGTCCAAATGAATGTGTTTGATACACGTTTGATTTCTGCTTTACCTTGACAGAAACATATCCTTCCTTCAATCTCTAGAAAATAAAGGGAGCGCTGCTCGCTTTCCACATTTCGCAGCTGCAACTCCAAGCCCTCACTTTCAGGCCCTCACTAAAGAGCTTCGGGTTTTCCCATCCACGCGACCAGCAATCTCATTGCATAAGAAGAAATTGGCATATAATCAACGAATTTCGATTTTGAAATCAAATTTTATCGACCGCACATTGTAAAAGGTATGAAAGCGAACCTTCGAAAGCTCTCTGCCTCTTCACTGTGATGCATCCGCGGTGCCAAACACGCCAGCATAATCTACGTCGCCTATTGGATAAGAGCCTACCTCACCAGCACCGCGATTATAAACAATAAAAAGGCGGCGAATGTTTCTTGAACGTTTTGTTAAAGAATATTCTGATCCACAATTCATAGCATAATTAGCGATGATGCTCGGAGCCATGCTCCACCTATCGTGTGGTAAACAAAGCAAGAGAAAGATCGACTGCGCCTGTGCCGGTTTCTGGCTTCCTGCTGAAAACCATGTCAGTAGTGATTGCGTCGACATGGCCGGTGTCGTGGAAGCTCATCGTTCCGCGTAGAGCATAATCCTTGAATGAATCCTCGTTGTGTATCGCGATGGTAACCCAGCACGCCCTAGAAGGGAAGAACCGTGTACTGGTGCGGCGATGTTGTGGCGGCACCCTTAGGACAGTAGTGCTTTCTTAGAATTTGTCTCCTCGAATATCGTCCGGATTTCTTATTTTGCACATTCCATGCGTGTGATGATGTTCAAGATATTACTGTTGTGTACTCTATTTGAAGGCGTGTATGAAGGATGCGAATTTTGACGCGTTTTTATCACCCGAGAAAAGTGATTAGTGGTAGCAATCCTTGAACGATTGCAATGTCCATGTGATCACGAAAACATATTTCTAAGTTGCTATTGGCGACGAGATGTTTCAGTGGCGCCTCCTGGGACGCAGCTGGTTGGATGCGAGCAGACGACGCGCTATGTCAAAGCACGGAGTGGCTATGTTAGTTCGCCACTATGCCGATTAAAAACGATCTATTTATTAAAGAAACGCCTAAAACGTTTTTGTGAGTGATTTTTCTAATGAACAACAGCCCTCAAAGTTGCTTTTTGTATTAAGAAAGCCTTAAAATGTTCAAAAACGAGCGTGTGGCTTCACATAGCTTGCGCGGCGTGCAACAGGGCTATCCCCATCCTCTCTCACTCTTCCTTTTCCGGATCTGTGGAGGCTCCTGAAGAAAAAAACTTTCAGCCTTTCCACTCTAATGAAGGAGGAAGACCAGCGAAGCTTTACTATGCTGGGATGACCTATAGGATAACTTCTTGGACGACCTCAAAGACGACGCCTAGAGGACGGTGTCTAGGACAACCTCAAGGATGACTTCTGGAACGACCTCAAGGACGACGTCTAGGACGGCCTCAAGAATGACTTTTAGGACGACCTCGAGGACGATATCTCGAGGACAGCCGGTTGTCTAGTTGCCGCCGTTGCTCATAGTTGGCGGTAGCTTTGCAGAGTTTTCTGTCGACATTAGTTTGGTACCGGGTACGATCCTCGGGAACCTAGCCCTTAACAGCTCCGCTGTAAAAGGTTTTGCATTCACCAGAGTAAAGGATGTGCTGTCTTCATAGCTGTGCTCCCGCGCACAGCTGTGTTGCAAAGCGCCACACTTGTTTTAGCTACACTGAGCTTGCCGATACCGATGCTTCTATCCAGATGTGACCTGACAGTTGCTGCCGAGCAACTGCTCGTCAGCAACTGATGCTTAGCTCCCCCCGAATCGAATACAAGGCAAAGAAGTTTGTCACATTGGGACTTCTGGTTGAAAGAAATTATAAATTCTTAAATTGTCGGCCATGGCACGGCAAATACACGCGATTGATTAGTTTGTGTTATCCTATTTTTAACCGAGAATTGTTTACAAATTTAATATTGCTCGCTGAGGAGCGCATCATGTCTTATGCGCATTTGGGTCCGCAGAAACTAAACATACAAGCGGTGGTAATTCATAGCAGGTGTATTGCTCATTTTCTGGGATGCTGAAGTGTCACCGACTTACTAGATTACTTTGATTGCGAGGGGGTCTCGCACGTTTCGCGTCGGCCGTGTGTATAAGCAGAGGTAGCTGAAAGCACTCCGGAAGCCAGCCTCTGCTTCTTCTAGCTTGCCAGTCATTTTGGGAAAATGTTTGTTTACTGGTTTACAAAATTAAGAAAAGGAATAAACTCTGAACTAATAAAAGACCAGCACTCACAGAACACATCGGAACCAACAGGATACATAAGAGTCGCTTTCACTGAAGTGTTTAGTAAACACGAAGGAGGTTCTTGAATTTCACCAATTCCTTTTTTCAATTTGACGAGACATTCTTTTCTTAGTTTTGTTTTGTCCGAGTCCTACTGTAGATGCCTCCCGCATGGGAGGCAAAACGTCTAATGAACTTGTTTTATCTGTTGTGTCAAGTTGGTGCTCTTATTTTAGTTATGACGTGTCCCGGCTTTTGGAGTATTTTTGTCATAATAAAAATACACCCTATTCGCCGTGGTAGATGCTGCAGTGGGATAAAGCGCTGAATATTCTATTTTCATCATTCAGCTTTTTGAAAGGGGTAGAGAATGGTTCATCACCATCCGAGCGCTTTGACACCTCGGCTCCAAAAGCGTTTGTGGGCACGACTACGTACACATGTTACGTGCGATTTCAAACTTTAGTAAAAACCGTTGACCTGCTACAAATATCACTTCACCATATAAACACGACACGAGAAGCAGGCTTTGCCGCGCGTTACTCAAACAGCGCATGAAGAGAGTGGTCTGTCCTACTCGTGACGTCACAAATGATGATGATAGCTGGAGAAGCGCGCCCCCTGTGGTTCGCACATGACGCCAATGCTAAGATTACGTCGTCTTTTGCAATCGGGAGTGCTTCCACCGACCAACACCTCCGACGCCCGTCGGACAAGTGAAGCCTGTGTGCAAATCACTCGTCCAACGCCAGTAAAGTCGCGTTTTAAAGTCGTGAATGTCCAAAACGGCGTACTCTTTTATTTTTTCATGCACTCTGCCCTGCGAGCCTATCCTGACAAAATAAAAAAAAAAATGAATAAAGCTTAAGCCCATAGAAACCTCGGTCCATTTTCTGCTACACCAGTGAGCGTAGCGCGCCCCATTCTTTTTAGAGGCGCCGCGAAAACAACTGACGGTGGGGGAGAAGCGGCCGCTGTGCTGACGACCTACGGCGCTTGTTGCTGAAGGGTGTACGTGCAGCACAGAGCGGTTGTTCCCGTTGCTCCTGTCACAACGGACGCAGTCGTAGCTAGCGTGCTCGTTGTACTACAATCTGGACTAGGTATAATCGAGGCTCACCTGGCCCGTGTGGGAATGCAGGCGGCACCAGAAAATACGAACTACACGGTCGTACGCAGCCCGAGAATTCGCGTAAAGGAGGACTATGCAGCCAAACTCAACCTGGTCCTGGCGGGGAAATGAATCCAGCCGTCCCCTTCGGTAGAGATCCTGGGGATCACCATAGAGGAGAACGGCAAAGGAGACGCTTGGCTCCGCGACAAACTCAAACAGTGCAACTCGGTGCTCAGCATGATCAGACGGATCTGCAATGCACGCGGAGGAGCGTCACAAGACATTGCCAAAAAAATGGTCAAGGCTCTCATAGTATCCCGGGTATGCTACGGAGCATGCCACTATTGGCTCACAGCAAGGCAATGGGAGCGTCTCGAAGCTTTGAACAACCACGCTATGAGAGCTATCACTGGACTGCCCCGTTTCACTCCTCTCGTCAAATTGAGGCAGTACGCGCAGTTTAACACATATTGCACGACGTCGTGGAAGCAAGAAGGAACGCGCACGACGAACGCCTTAAGACGACACCGCAAGGAAGAGGCATCATGCGACTCCTAAAAAAATCGGTAGATGGCCTCCCAGAGCTGCAGAAACAACTGCTTCCGTGGGAAGACCTCGCGGCCATCAGCAGCAAGCCTCTAAGGGCATGCAGAAAAGGGGACACCAAACAACTGGCCCGCCAGGTAAAAGCACACAACAAAATGGTGGAGGGCTGGAAGCAAAGCAAGATCGTAGTTGCTGCTTATACGGACACTGCATCGCTTGAAGGCCCTGTCACCCTCAAGTCAGCTGCCAACACTTTGACTCGAGGCAATTGAAGCATTACCCCCTACGGTGTCGACAAAGGGAGGAGAACTGGCAGCCATCCGCCTTGCATTAGAGACGGTCGTCACTCAAGCCACCGACCTCCCTAAGAACCTCTGGATCTTTACGGATTCACAGGAGGCGGTGAAACAGTGTCGAAGCAAGAATAGCCCTAGCGTCCAAATACGCAAGATCAAAAAGCTCGCCACGACACTTAGGTCGCGGGGTGTCTTTATAAGAGTCGAGTGGGTTCCTGGTCATGCGGGGATCCCACGCAACGAAGAAGCCCATCAACTGGCCCGCGACATCCTTGCTACCCCTTCCTTCCGCGGGCCCGGAGATGAAACGCTTCCACTTCAAGATCACCAATATGACGTGACCCCTCGAGATCGAGCATCCATCGTCGATTGGCAGTCACAAGAATATGACCCCGCCGAAGAAAAGGCCGGGATAAAAAATTAATACCAGGCGAAACTTGAAGAGCTCCTGCCCGAGCCGGCACATCCCCTTCTCCCTTCACGGGGATTTGGACGACGAGGGCAGGTTCTGCTCACCCGAGTCCGCACAGAAGCAACACTATCATCCGCGAGACTCGCATCGTGGAACAAAGGCAAAAGGTCTGGCCTTTGTTCCCAGTGCGACATGAACGCTAAGGCGGACACATACCACCAAGTGCGGGTGTGCCCCAAGTATCACGCAGAAAGGGCAAAAATTTCGACCTCAGGACATCATCCCGCCACCCTCGCCGACAAGCTCCATTTGAACATCGTCAGCACCTATCCCTGTCATCTGTACACAATCTCATCCCATCGTCCTTAGATGCGGCGCCGCAGGCCTTCCTGGTATGGGCTACTTGCCTTTCTGCGGCACCGCGGTTCTCCTGAACCAAAATAAATATTATTAATTATTATTATTATTATAGCCACTCTGGAAGGCTGGACTCATCCCCCTGGAAACGACCAACAACGAAAGATCCTGCGAAGTCTACTTCCTCCACGAGGCAAAGCTGGAATCGTTTATTTAGTGCACATGTTTTAAATAGTATCCAGGCCTCGACTATTAGCCACCGATGCATTCTTACGCCCCTTTCCCTGCCTAATGGCATCAAAACGCTCTTGGAACTGAACAAAATATTAAAATAATACTTCCTATTTCCGCGGCACTGACACTGAGGTGGTTTGGCAGATTTGTGAGGCCCCGCAAAAATCGTCAAATCTCGAGAGATGCGGTCGTACATACCTGGATGTGAATTATTTTGTTATGTAACCTTCAATGCTTCCAAGTTACTCAGCCCTCGACGCGTGGATTGCACAAAAACGAAACTGTAACTAGAGTGGTCTGACCTATCCTGACCCATCTGACTACCGCGGACTACAACAAAAGTTAACATTTATATTTTGGGTTTCCTGTTCTAGCGCTGGGGAGCAGAATAAATACTTGCTAATAAAAAATAATTTGCGTTTTGAAGTATTTAATTTTAACAAATCGAGACAATCCAATCCAAGACGTTGAACGGTTAGCTTTGGTTGCTTTGTGCGCGCGTAGTTCTTGAACATGCATGTGGCTCTCCCAGCTCTCCTACAATGTACTACGTAGTATGAACGTTTGAAATGCACTTTGGAGAGCGTTGTCTTGGGTGAATTGAGAGTTCAGAGCGAGCAGCTAGTGCCACTAGTACTCTGTGTGGTCCACCGGAGTCGTCCTCGGTTGCACCACCCTTGTACCACACTGAGGGCATCGCAGTGTCTGCGGCACCGTAATGAGCAAGTGCTGCGTCTTCAAGGGTGGTGCCTGTAAAACCGACGGTGTGCCGGTATTCGAGTTTCCCAGGAACCGCAGACTAAGGAGTCAGTTGAGTAGGCATCGTTCTGACGGCTACGATTCCACCAGGCTTTTCCCAGACAACCTGATAGATGACAAGGCCTAGCCCCGACTGAAAAAGGGCGCCTTTCCGGCGCTGCAACTCAAAGAAGCGCCAACTGCGAAACGCAGGAGGAGGACACCAGTGCGCAGTCGTACCGGTAAGTGGCCTTCGGTGATCGCAGATTGCCGATCGCCGACGCTACGAGCTAATGGAACTAATCGTGCAGCATCCAGAGCGCACCGACATGACGAAACTAATACCTAGAGAAGGGAAACAACAGAGACAAAGGACACTCGTAAATCTCCAAACACGGCTAGGTGACTGGCGTGAGACCGAAAAAATCCGCCTGGTCCTGGTATCGAACCAGCGACCTCTCCGTTTCTAATGCAGCACTCTTCAAAAAAAAAAACAAAAAAACAAAAATTGGGTTGTGTGGCATGTTTATACAGCCTAGAAGTTGGTCTGCATCTCAGGGGCAACGAGTCTCCCAGCTGTAGATGAGCAATTTAGCCAGTGCAGTACAACCGCTAGCCTGGGGTCTTTAAAGGGGCGGTGCAACGATTTTCGGACTTCGGTCAAAGATTTCTGGAAGTTACCCCCTGACACTTCAGAAGTAAAGAACAGAAAACCGATTTCGCCTGCGTGTCCTAGTTGTTGCGTAAAAAAAAGATAAAGATTGGCATTTCGGGCACCCCTCAACTCACTCCCAGCCTTCAGGGTCACACCTGGTCGCACTCCCAGTGACGTCATTCGGAGTGCCGTGTAGCTTCCCGTGTGCTATCTCGGAGAACGCTTCCCCTCCCTCTCTCTGCGTACATTAGCAGGCGCTATGCTGCAGCTTAGAGCCGAGCGAGGTCACGTAATCTTTCCGCCGTAGTTCCTTCGGCTGCCACTTGGGGCTGCAGGTGGGGGAAGAAGCTCGACTTTTGCTTTGCGATTATGCAGCGAAATCGCGACATTTTTAATGAAGGAGGTGTTTTCTCTATCCTCTGGGACACGATGAACAACTTAAAAATGACGAGATGCAAATTCTTTTAATCATAAAATCGTTGCACCGCCCCTTTAACGTGCACCACGCAGTAGTGATACAGGACCGCACGCCGGTACGATGCTCATCCAGATCGAAACGGGCAGGGGTGGGGATTGAACCCAGGATCCCTGGGTTCTGCAGCGCAAACTTTCGCTCCACATGCTCCGAGCTGGTGTGCGCTAGCCCGCTCGGCCACCGATCCCCCCACTCTTCCAACTGGCGAACATGGTGAACACCAACATGGTGTTTGCCATGTATCTGTGTATGTACACCATCATCACTGATGCAATCATGCACGGGGAACACCCAATAACTTTTGACGCTGGTTGATTGGTCCCATCAGCCCATAGTGTAGGTTGCGTCCCCGGACATAAGATGAAACAAAGTACAGGGTGTCTGAAATCACAAGGATCAATCTAAAATGGACTGTAAAAATCGACGCCTGCACGGAGCAATCTAAACTTTTCGTCAAAGGTGTATTTCACCGGTCCGGTTTTTCAAGTAAAACTGCCTAGCGTAGCTCCTTTTCTGTAAAAAAAAAAAAAAAAAAAAAAAAAAAAACTGGGTTAAAAACTTGCCAGGGTCAACGATGTGCGGCGACGCAGACGACTAATTCGAGCGGCGGGGTGTCGTCGGAAAATGTAGTGTCTGACTCCATATCTCATGTGCCATACTACTGCCTTGAAAATGATTGTGTACGATTTGCAGGAGCATCTCTTCACAATATTTCAAACCTTCCAAGTCATCAACACTTCGGTGAAGGTGCAATCATCAACGCTGTGCAACGTTGGCAAGCATATCTGCTTGCACCATTTCATTAGTAATTAGGACCCTCCCTGAGCCTCCACTGGCTTTACAACTAAAAGACTTTCCATGCAGGGTACTACATCTGCTGTTCATAGCAAGTACACCTCAAAAGGCGCGAGCGTTTTGGCGTGCGCATATGTTTCCAACGAGGACATGAACCAAGCAAACAATATGACTTATCTTCTTGCCTCCTCGCTCCTGTCTCCTCTCCCGTTTTGCTTTTGAGAGATTTCGGACTGGCATCAACAGTAGAGCCCTTGAGTAAGGCCTTCAGACAGTAGAGCATGTGAGTGGCTACGTCCGTACCCACATCATGTGCATGCTCCAAGGCTTTGTCCAAGGATGTGAGCAGAGGGCAGTAATTATTTAAAACGAGTGTGTTGGTGAATAGATACCAATACATGAAAGGATAAAACATCGAGGATGGGGACGGAAACAGAAATTCTTCCGAAAGAATGGAAACAGAACTTCTTTGAAAGAAGTTCTGTTTCTTCCTCGGTGTTTTATCCTTTCATGCATTCGTATCAGCAGAAGGGGTGGCTTTTGTCCGGCAGTAAATGTCTCAAGGTAGACTGGAAGGCGAGGAATAACCTCTCTTTCCATCCAGCAAAGGCTGTCTACAGCACAAGCCATGCTCTCTGTGGACAGCCCTTGACACATTTTTCAACAATCTAGTGACTCTAGCCGGTTGTGATGAAGTTGTGTTGCCACTCTTGCATTGATCACTTCACTTATAGAAGGCGAAGAAATACCTGTGCAGGAATTGTGTTCTTTCGCTGCAAAGGTGTGATTTTTTTCGGTGTGCATGGTTAGCCAATGGTTATTCTCGAAATAATAGACTTTTAGCTATACGATTGGATATCCCGAAACATATCATGTTATGTGCCTATTAGCCTTTGTGCTGCTTATCAGCAAGCCGGTATTTGTTTGCAACAGGTGTGGGCATGACGCTTGTGCTGAAACCAGATTTGTGAGAAGTGAAACGTCTGTGCATGTTCCGTGAAAAAAGCAGCGTCACTGAGGTGGCATGAAACCAAGGCTGCAAGCTGGTGTATATGCTTGTAAGGGCATAGAAATATTGCTGGTCCAAAGCTATATCCACAACTCCACTCATTTTGATGCCAGCTCACTGGTTCTGCCTTTGGTAAACAGAAAAAGAAACTTTCGAGTTTTAATAATTTATACAGCTCACTATAGACGTTTTCTATTTCCTCTCCTTCTCAGTTACGTGGGTTCCGTATCTGGTATGCGAGACGAAAATATAACTAAAAATTTCAATCTGGAATATGCGAGAAAATATAGGTGAGGCCGAACAAGAACGTGTGACAATCACGCATTCTGCGTAAACACCTTCCAGCGATGTGGAGAGATCAAAACAATGTTTTACTTCACACCAGAAGCGACGACATTCAAGATGGCTGCGCCCTTGCGAAAAAGGTGTATAAAAGCCATTTCAAGAAGATGTTTGATGAATATTATGCAAGTGCTGAAAATGTAATTGTTTATTTTTACATGAATAGTGCATGATGCGTATTGGAACATGATCACATCAGTGCCTCCAAATTCAACTTGTTCAAATTCAAATTCAACTGGGTCCTGTTCACAGCAGGACCCACCTCGGGCACCACCGGTAAAAAGGAGAAGGGCTAGTGGAAGTCTCCCCAGCAGCAAGAGGACAGGCACGAATGCCGCTTTTGTCTTTACTCTGCCTGCGACAGATTTTGCATCACCAGACATGAAAGGATGCATTTGGAGGATATAATATATTAAAGTGCAGTATGTACGTACTTCTGGGTGAGCAGTCGAGCATGCAACGAACATGATGAGTCTCGTAATAATGCATAAGGGAGAGCAGTGGTACCAGTGTTGGACCTGTGGAAAAGTGATCATGCGAGCTGATGTATGTTTGGATAAAAGGAGGTGCCAGGCCTTGAGGGAAACCCATCTATTGTAATATCCTGAGAGATAGCCCTCCAAAAATCGATAGGAAATGGGATGAAAATGAGGGGTGTGCCATAGAACAAAAGTTTTATGGCACACCAAAGCGAGGTTAAGTAACACCGTGTTTTCCGAGGTCAGCATTTGCCAGGGTCCTGTAATTACTGGAAGTGGGCTATCTTGCAGTGTTTTTGACGAAAATAGCAAATCATGCCAAAAATAGGTGTGGACTATCTTTAGGGGGGGAGGGGGGGGGGGGGGCATCTCTCGAGACTTTATAATAGTAGTAGCTGGAGACACCATTTGTACTGAATTGAAGCTTCTCCATATGTCTTTTAGTTCTTGATAAACTTTGGGTTTTTTTTTTATCTGTGAGTAGAATTTCTTGGATAGATGCTTGCATAATTAATCATGTACAGTCTGGGATAAAAGTCTCCAGGACGTGCGAGCTGCGGCTGAAACGCATTGCTCTGCCATCTGCCGGCGGGTGGCCTGGTTTCGAGATCACAGAAAAGCGCATGCACGTCCTACTCTGCCTGCAAACATGTTTGTTTTCCCACCCTTCTATGGCACAGTGCCTAACTCGGAATCGGGCGCGTGGTGCCGCCTCGAAGATAGCGCTGGCGGCTGACGAGCGTCTGCTACACA